TCGTAATTACCTATAATAGGACAATTAATAAAGATAGTGTTCATGGAAATTCGAATATAGAAACAATAAATGCACTAATGCATCTTAATTAACTTTATAATACGACAATTTATAAAGATAGTGGTAATGGAAATTATCTATAGAACAAAAAACACTAGGTATCTTAATTACTGTCAATAGGATAATTTATAAAGATAGTGGTAATGGAAATTATCTATAGAACAAAAAACACTAGGTATCTTAATTACTGTCAATAGGATAATTTATAAAGATAGTGGTAATGGAAATTATCTATAGAACAAAAAACACTAGGTATCTTAATTACTGTCAATAGGATAATTTATAAAGATAGTGGTAATGGAAATTATCTATAGAACAAAAAACACTAGGTATCTTAATTACTGTCAATAGGATAATTTATAAAGATAGTGGAAATGGAAAATATCTATATGAAATATGTATACCACCGAACCCTGTAGAAATTAAACGCCACAATTTCGCAAATTTCAACATGTTTTGGGGTTTTAATTTGGAATAAAAATGTTATATTTATAGAAAAAGTAATTTCAAGAAAGCTTGGGTAAGTCACAATTCAATGTATCAGGATCATACAGAACAGCCGAATCGCGCTCCATTTGTGTCCTAAAGCTGCATAATAAGGGTGGATTGATGGTGTCCTAGAAGCGGCCAAGATAATGGCATATACCTATTAAAGGTGGTTTTAGATCTTAAAGCCAATAGAATATATTTGAAGCATGCTTGATAATTGATTTACCGATAATAAGTCTCATCTAGAAACTCGATAACAAAAAATACGTCTAATACCTTGACATCATTAGCCAGTTTTCTTGCATAAAGGATTATGAATACAGCAAATTGATTGGATTGTACGCTAGCAAATACATCTTAATGGATATATTCAGTAACGTATAATCCAATCAAGTCGATGCATTAAGGTTAAGGTATTAGACGTAGCTAGTGATACCTTGACACTGTGAAGATGCTCTCCCTAAAGGACCAAAAGAAAATAATTTCAGTATTTCCGAGATTACTGTTTTATGGTAACGGTGTTATCATAATAAGGCAAGTAAAAAGGTCTGATAGGAATATTATCTTTTTAAAGAAAAAAAAGTACATTAACTGTTTTAATTTTATGAATAAATTCTTAAAGAGATTATTTCTAGGCATTTATTTTAAAATAATTCCATTTTTTAAATGTCGACCTTCTGATAATCTTATGTCTTAGAAATCGGATAGAAGAGCACTTTTAAAATTTGGATAGAAAAACATTTTGAAATTCGCATAGAATATTATTCGGATAGAAAACCATTTCTGTAAGTCAGATAGAAAAACATTTATAGAATTCGGTTAGTAAAACATTTTGGCGATTGGCATGGAAA